ATTTTTTATATAAATTATTAAATTTTTATTTAAAATTTATATCTAAAAAGTTAAAAAATTAAATTAAGTCTATTAAAAATAAATGAAATGTCTAAATTATTTAAGTACTATTAATAATTTTGATTGAGAAAGTACAGTGCAATCTAAAATATGTTAAATTATATTATATTAATCATTAAATAAATAATTGAATTTTCTAATATTAAGATTCTTTTATATTTAACAATTTTTATTTTACAACATAATACAATTTAAATTATAAAATATTATCATTCAATATACATACATCAAGATGTTAATTTGGGATTATTTTTGATAATGTTTCAACTGACTTACTGCCACATCTCCTTAGAGGTGAAGCTTGGCTTGCATTGTTAGTTATCTCTCAGACAGCATCCGCATTTTCTGTTGTGTCTTATTGGTGGCCACTGCAGCTCAACAGAGTTGTCAGTAAATTACACTCTGATTAGTAATCGAAACTTGTTAAAAAATAAGGTATTAACTTCAAATTTTTAACTTTTAACTTCTAATTCTTAACCATTAAACTGTAAAAAAAAAAAGTTATCTCTCAAACCAAAAGATAAATTGGACACAACAAGCAAAATGAAGTGCAGGGTAAGAAAAAGATAAAAATACTAATTATTAACACATAATTCGACGCTCCTTCCTCTTCGATGCCTTCTTCTCAACGCTACCCAACACAAAAGTGAACCGTATATTCAACCCCAAGATTGATCAATCCAGTCCACAATGCAGTCTCCATTCTCTTCACCGGCAATCCCACCAGATGCAGATCTCAATTCTTCTCACCTCCCTCTTGTTTCTCTCCGTCTCTTTCCCCTTCTCCCCCGCTCGAGGTACTCGAGTTCAGATCAAATATCGGCTGTCTACACTGTCTTCTCTAAGCAGTTGGGTTTTAATTGGTCTTTCTCTCTTTCTTTTTTTTTTTTTTTTGTTTTTTCCAGGTTTCGAGCCATCTCCAGTGCCGGTATATTTTGACGGATCGCCGGTGGGAGGATTTCCTGCTTTAGAGCCAGATTCTAGTGGGAGTGGCGATGGACTTTCTCCGTTGTCACCGGCATTTGTGGAATCTCCCCCTCCAGAGATGGTAACGCCGGTGGGGAATGAAGGAGCGGAGGACGTAGCTCCGGCGCCAAAGGAAGATGGGAGTCAGAGCTTCGGCGAGATCCCGCCGAGTATTCCGGAGCCGGAATACGCGGGAGAGGGGATGGTGAGGTGGTGCGCTGTGAGAGAGAAGTATGAGGACTGTCAGTTGCTCGTCAGTATTTTGGGCCAATCCGATGGTTACACGTGGAAGTGGTATTTCCAATATATTTATTTATTTATCCATATTCTATTTTATTTATTATTTAGAAAAAAAAAAATCGTTGTCATATTTCTTAAAAAGTAAAAAGCTAACTATTTCCAACCCAAAATCTTTAATGGGAAATCGTCATACTCTACTAATATACAAGTTTTTCTAATCTTTCGATTTACCTTAAGGGCTTAAGAGTATATGTTGAAAGCTTTTAAAAAATAAAAAGTAATATTTAATTTATTAATTATTTAATTAAATGTGTTTATGTCACATTAATTTTAAAATTAATGTTTTTTTTTATTTTTTTTAATAAATTTATTGTAAAAAAATGTTTTTAATATGTCTCCTAATAGTAAAGGTTAAAAAAAAAAATTTTTTTAAAGGATAATAAAAAAGTGGCCATAGTTGAGAAGAAATATGTTTATTTGAGGAGATTAGTCACAAAAAAAAAGTCAATTTGAACCATTACAGTCTTAAAAATGAGGGAAAAGGGAAAATTAAATCACATTTTATAATTATGGTTGTTGGAATTGTTATTGTTTTTAAAATTAGTAGCTACGCAATGCTCTTCTTTTATTAGTACTATTAAATATTATAATATTTTAGTGAAACTATTTTTATGGTAAAAATTTCACCTATGTTTGCATTTTTAAATATGAATGTTTTTCTTTATTAGTTGTATGCTTCTATTTAGTGTGAAAAAAGAGACCGTTGAAGAATGTCTACACTCAATCAAGGAAGGAAAAGCAGACATAACGAACTTGGAGGCAGGGATGGCTTACACTGCCTTCATTAACCACTCAATGAAAGCCATTGCCAATGAAGTACACTGCGACCGTGCCCACAGCTACGAAGCCGTCGCAGTTGTTAGCAGAAAAGCCTGCATGGACAAGAATGAAATCAGCATACTGGATTTCAAGGGACGCAAATCTTGCCACGGCGGCTACTCCACTGCCGCTGGATGGAACTATCCCATTAACCATGTAAAACAAGAGTCATATAATTCATCAAAAGGGATGAATGAACGAGAAATTGCTACTAGCTTTTTCTCTGAGGTGTGTGCACCTTCCGAGTTTGCTGGAGCAGGGGTGTGTAGTGGTTGTAGCAATGAGAATGGTTCCTGCCATCCAAGCAGCTTGTACTTGGGAGATTCAGGAGCATTTCGTTGCCTTGTGGAGGAATTGGGGGATATTGCATTTGTAAGGGGAGATACTGCTCTGCTGTATTCCATGGAGGGGACTCATAATCAGTCTTGGTCCACCAAGTCAGTCAGGGACTTCATGTAAGTTTTGATTCTGTGCTTGTTTTTCGAAGTAATGTGGATTGTGATTTCCTTTCATGCCCTGTTTTTTCACATCAAAAGGGTTGAGTAATTTAGATGAAATCGTTCATTTAGCTGTTGAAAATGTAGGTACCTATGTCCACAAGGGGGTTGCAGAGAAATCAATGGCTACCCTGGATCTTGCTCGTAAGTCTTTTCATCTTTAAGACCATTTCTGTTTTGTATAAAAAAGTCTCTATGAACACCTTCATCTTCTAACAAAATTCCAAATGGCTTGGATTATAATTTTCAGATTTGGAGCTGTTCCTGCAGATGTGATAATGGCCAGCAATTCCGTCCCAAAGAAAAAGAAATTGCTGGTTTTGAAGACACTAACAAATGTCACCTTGATTGACGCTCTCATCGCAGGAAGGAATGGTGCTACTAATTACCTTCTTAGTCCAAGGTAATATAGTAGTCTATGTAGGATTCTGAGTTTCCACAGATTTTCATTCCTCTTCCTTGGAACCATGACTATATATTCAAGCTTTTTTGCAGTACTCAAGAACTAGCTGTAGTCAAGAAGCTCACAAGGTCTTACCTTGGAAAATCAGCATTAATATCAAAAAGCTTGCAAGAATTTAGTAATCCGGGTAATGAAGCCGTCCGGTCTACAGTAAACTCAGTTACAGGTTAATATTTGCAGATACCTTCTCAGAGATTACCATTAATTCTAAATATTTCTCTCAGCTTTGTTAACTTGCAATATAATTTTTCTGGATGTAGCATCTCAGCCATCTTCATGCCATCAGAATTCACCGGTTATCACATTGTTCTCGGTGTTACTAGTACTCGTGGTACAATTCAATTGATTCTGATGCTATACACTCCATTGAGCTGAAGCTTGGAATCTTTATTGTTGCTTTCTGCTGCCAAGAAGGTAAACATAAAGCCTGCAATGGGATTAACAATGGAACTCTTGAATAGCCGAACTCCGCTTAGAGTATTTTTTGGTCAATAAACTTTCTAAAATCAATGCCAATGGTATAACCTCACTTAGACATTACCTTTTTTTTCTTTTTTGCCATCATTACCTATTAGTACAAAATCATTCAGATACAATTTTTATTTTTATAATTTTGTGTACAATTGTTGAAGTCTGTGATTTACCTTTTCTACTTGCTATCACTAACAAATCAATATGTGTAATAAAAATTATTATAACTGAATTATTATTGGCATTAGTACTCTGCGTCTTAATTTTTATTTCGAAAGTAATTCTTGATGATAAATACTCACAACTTGATGTATTAATTTTTTTCATCAATTGAGAAATGTAGATTTTGTAATTGACCTAATTATCTTTATGGAATTAAGCCATTAAAGGATGAATAAGAACTACAAAGAATCCTCAATCAATCAAAAAATACAACAAAGAAACCCACTGTTTAAGAGATAATTACTACAAATCCCTCTAATTTATCTAATTATATTGAAATAAGAATCAATTCTAGCTAATTTCTCTATTTATTATCCAACAAAAACGGTTTCTATAAAGCCATGGCAGAGCTTGCATTTTTCATCTTAAAAACAGAGTACCAGCATATGGTACTTGTCATTCCCCTGTTTCCACTGTCAGGATAAGCAGCTGTGCGTTTGACTCTTCTGTTAGCTTTCTCGGCCCTTACTTTCTTTGCCGTGAACAGCTACCGTTCCGCATTCATCTACTCCGACTGTCTTCCCCACTCTGCCGTTGCCAAGGACGGCTCATATATCTTAGCCGATTACCCTGAAGCATGCAAGAACCAGATGCAGGGGCAATTTCAACGGCGCTCTTTGTGCTGATCCCAGCCAAGAACACTTTTGTGTTTGCTTATAAAAAATATAAGCCTAAAATAAAAATATAAATAAAAGTTTATTATTAAATAGATTTGTTCTCTCTTATGTTTTGCCCTGACGTTGAAGATGGCTAGTGCTTTGGATCACAAAATCTAAGGTTTATTAAGTCACAGAGTGTTATAAGGAGAAATACAACTATTTCATAATAATTTGAGGTTCTGCTTTTAGGCATACTACACACATGAAAGCTTCTAGCAATTGATTACGGGTAGTTTCATTACATGGAATTTTACAGTTGAAATGGATGGAAATTCTTCTCAGATTCAAGGCGCAATCGATCTGGGAATGATGACGTCTCCGATGTTGTTGTGCCATGGATCAGCCAAGTGAGCTGCTAAATTCTCCAGTGGCCCAGTGCCAGGGTATGCTGATTGCTGCACACAGATCCCCACAAATGCCAACAATGCAAGTCGACCTGTATATATATGTACATATGCGTAACAAAGTAGTTATGGAATTTTGATTTGAGGGGAAAATAAACAGAGAATTTCAGTGAGAGGGCTCACCATTTTTGATTTCTTTGACCTTGTATTCCTCGAACTTTTTGGGGTCCTTAGAGTATCCCAAGGGATCGAAAGCGCCGCCAGGGTACTTCTTCCTCTCCGTGTCTTTTTCCATGCTGCGTTGGTGCTCGACGAAGGATATGGCGAGGAACTCGATCACCAGAATGGTAGGGAGGTTGCCCCATGGAACAGGTTGGCCCAAATAGGTGGCTTGGCCACCGGGAATCGCCGCCCATTCTTGAGCCTTCACCCAGTTCCCCAACCCCAAGGCCTCTGGAATAAGAATCCCAGGCTACAAAATCCAGAGAGACAGAAAAAATTGACCAAATTGAGATAAAATGATAAATTCGACAAAAATAAGAATCATGTTTCAGGATTTCAGAACTTACGACAGCAAGCATAGCCCATCTGCAATGAATCAACTCAGATTCCTTGTACCTCTCAAGATTTTCTGGAACCTCCCCAAGCCGAAGTGGGTCAAATCCAAAGTCCCTATATAGAAGAACATAAGTTGGAAACAGGGTGAAAAAGAAAAAGAAACTCCAAAAAAAGACCAAAAGAAGTACGATTGTTAAATTACCCCGGTGCAGAACCGTCGAGATATGGTGGCCGTGGCTGGCCAGGCATCCAGTCAGCAGACATGGTGAAGCGAGCTGCATTGGCGTTGACACAAGGAAGAGGAACTCCGGTGACGAACTTGGATTTTGAGGAGGAGAGAACAGAGGGAAATGCAGCGGCGATGCCGCAGCTCATCAATCTATTGGCGGCCATGGGTGGAGTTGGGTGCTCGGATTAGTAAAACCGGAGGGGGAGGAATAGAGAGGTGGATATGTAGCTCAAGAGCAGCAGAATGTGTACTTGAATTGTATGGGGGAGTGAGATATGGGTGAATCTGAATATGGATTTTTATTGGCTAAGGATACTTGCATGTGCTTTATTATTGGGCCACCTGGAAATGATCAATCCAATTGGTGCTTACGTGGCAGAGCTAGTTGGATATGTTATTTGGACGATCGTGTGGCGAAGGATAAGAGTTTGCCAGAAGTAAAATCATCTGCTGCTAATGGATGATGAAACCAAATTGTTAGCTCTTGTGGTTTTTTTTTTTTTTTTAAATGAAAAATAATTATTTTTTATTTTTTATATTTTATCTCATCTCACTTGTATATTATATAATTCGAACAGATCTTTTACTTTTAATAAAAAAAATAATCATTAAATTATTTAAATTATTAACCACTCATAGAGTTTTTTATAACTCCATTTCAAACATAACCTCGCCGAATTACCAAAGTTATTTTATTCAAATTTTCTTTTATTGCTTTCCCTCAAAAATCATTTAACATGTGATTGATTTTACTGATTTTACTAGTTAAAATGTTTTAAAACATTTAATTATAATCTGCTTTTAAATTGATATCAGTTATTGTATAAGGTATTAACTTTTAAAATAATTAAATTAAATAAAAATCTAATCTTATTTTGAAAGATTTTCTAACATTTTAGTACGGTGAAGCTAAAATCTTAATTTAATTAGATAAAATAATTTATTTTTCTTTAACCCAAAAAGAACCCATTTCTTATCTCTAACTAAACATTAGCTCAGTGTTTGCATTACAATTAAAGAGATGCTTTTAAGGTAGTATATCATTTAAGGTTAATACGAAAAAGTCAATTATTTAAATAATTTAGTAATAATTTTATTTATTTATTATAATTATAAACAACTCTAAATTTAAGTCTTAAGTATTAGATAACAGAGTTTTTTTTTTTGTGTAATTTAAAATAAATTAAACATGGAAAAAATAAATAAATAACGTTGGGTTGACCCAGCCCAATTATCCGTTTGAGGAGTTGGGTTTTTTCGGTTGACGCTTAACGCACTTAGTCAATAAAGACACCAATAGTAGCTCCGTATTACACATCCCAGCCCAATTATTAAAATCACACTAATCACGTGTTTCGGCAGTAATTAAACCGTAATTACTCCCGGTAAAAGTCAGATCTACAGTACAGTCGCGTTAAAATTACGACGGTACCCACCGACTTGTCCACTCGAAATGAGTCGTGTCAATAACTGATTGGTTAAAATTTTTTTGACTAAGGTCCAGAGATTCTTAATGCCAATTGTCTTATTCCACGCCTTTGCACTCTTTGAGCGCCGCCGCACTGGAACAGCCCCTTTGTTTTTTTGGTTAATGGAAAACACGTTTAGCCTCTCCTCTTCTCATCAGTCTGCACCGGAGCCACAAACTCCGAGTGGAAGAGAAACAGACATCAAAGCAGCAGAAGAACGAGAAAACCAACTGCAATGTTTCGTGGTGCTCACTTTTTTTCTTGAAGTCGCACCGAATAACCTATAATCGGAAGAAGGTTGCGGAAGACGCCGCCAATGACTATCACCGTGGCGGTGGCGGCGGTGGTGACAGCTTCGGTTCCTGTCCGCGCACCATGCGCTAAGCGAGTAGTGGCCGACATGGTTCCGAACTGGGGGAAAAAACCAAGGCAAAAACAGCAGAAAGTGCGGGTTCTAGGCGATTTTAGTCATTTTGGGGATGCGGTGCGCAAGGACGTGGAGTTCTTGAAGAAGGGGATCAGGAGAGGGATGGAGTGGGCGAACGTGGCGTTCCGTATCCCTCAGGTCACTAAAGCAGTAGATGACCTCGTTTGGCTTCGAAATCTCGAGGATCCTAACTTCTCCATGGACTCCGAGCCTCCATCATGGCCCCAGCCGTACTATCCAGGTTAGTAGTCTTCTTGCCTCCATTCCAGAATATGGAGAGAATTTTGGTTGTTTACTGTAAACTCGGCGTAATTGATATGCATCTTTTAACAGAACTCTCTAGTTTGGATTTGCTCATGGCTGATCTCAAGGCCTTGGAGGCTTATGCTGTTTATTTCTACTATTTATCAAAGAAATGGTCGAAGCCACTTCCTGAAAGCTATGACCCTCAAGCGGTTGCTGATTACTTCAGTTGCAGGCCTCATGTGGTGGCTCTTCGACTTCTTGAGGTAATTACAAAATTGAGATGGTCTGTCATTTCTGAATTCATTCCTGTTATCTCCTTACAATCTCTGAATGGACTTTGTTCTAATAGAGTCAATGTGCTCTCTGATGGTACTTATCTTTCTCAATAAACCTCTTTTGATTCCCAATTCTTAGTCTCTATTATATAAAAATTAATTATCTGCATTCACTAATCCTGGTTGGGCTTAAAATATTCTAATGTGGTAGGTCTTCTTGTCCTTCACCTTTGCTGCAATCAGAATTCGGATATCAAGTTCAGATAAGGGTGTTGATGGGAACATTTCACAGTACAACTTTGGAATGGTGCTAAAAGAAACAGTGCTGAAGCTTGGTCCCACTTTTATCAAAGGTGAGAAATGTGGTCTAATTTAAGTCTGAATTTCAAGCATCTGGGAGACCAAGTTCTTATTCTCCTATTTATTATGATCTTCTTATTCCTTTGTCATTCTTGTTATCCACTCTTTAAATTGTATGCTAGGAATGTTTCTTTTTCTCCTGCAGTAACAAGATCATCAATATCCTAGTTACATGCTTTGCTTGCTGATGCAGTTGGCCAGTCCCTTTCAACAAGGCCAGATATCATTGGTGCTGAAATTTCAAAGGTTAGATGAAAGTGGATATTCCTTCTTTTCAGCTTATTCATGATGCCAGTTTTTGCTTCATGGAGATTACTATGTTAGTGTTCTCTTTTATTTTTATATTGTTTATCAAAAGGGGCAAGTTCTCTATTATCCCTGTTATTATTTTGTATGATACATATGGCTAACACTTCCCAATATCTGCCATTCTATCAGCTGGGTATACGTCACGTATATCAGATTTATGAACCTTTGGACAGATTTCTATCTTTTTATATATTTTGGGTGCCTGGATCATGCAGAATCATTTTCTCTTTATTCTCATGTTCTGGTTATGATTCCAGGCATTGTCTGAGTTACATGATCAGATTCCTCCCTTCCCCAGGACTTTAGCTATGAAAATTGTTGAAGAAGAGTTAGGTTCTCCTGTCGAATCATTTTTTAGCCATATCTCTCAGGAACCTGTAGCTGCTGCATCATTTGGTCAGGTGGGCATTAACCTTAAATATTCTTTGTCACACAATAATTTGTCTTTTTACATGTACCTGACATGCCAGACACACTAATTTTGATGTTCTTATTCGCACCCATTAGGTCTACCAAGGAAGAACTCTTGATGGTTCTAATGTTGCCATCAAAGTTCAACGTCCTGATTTGCATCACGTGGTTGTACGAGATATCTATATTATACGCCTTGGGGTTCGTATTGACATTTTTAGCAGAGTTCCTCCATGTGTTAAGCATATAATTCTTAAATGATTAGTAATTGACTATTTCCAGCTAGGGCTGCTGCAAAAGATAGCCAAGAGAAAAAGTGACCTTCGTCTATATGCTGATGAGCTTGGGAAGGGTTTTGTTGGGGAACTGGATTACACATTAGAGGCTTCCAATGCTTCTGAGTTTCTGGTATTCAAAGCATTCTCCACTTAAATATTTTGTGTCCTTAATCCTAAGGAAATAACAGAAGGCTAAATAATAACTTCAACTGAAATTTATCCATTTTGCCATATTTTCTTTTTTCTTATTGTTTGTTGGTTTTCTACAGGAAACCCATTCTCGCTTTACTTTCATGCATGTTCCAAAGGTATTTCACCATTTAACTCGAAAGAGAGTTTTGACCATGGAGTGGGTGGTTGGTGACAGTCCAACTACTTTACTCTCACTAACTACTGGTAATTCCATTGATCATGGCCATATGAATTCTGAGAGACAAATATTTGAAGCAAAAAGGCGTCTTCTTGATCTGGTGAGTGGCAACTACTTTGCAGTCATAGATAATTTAATTTAACCATCCTCAGGAGGCCATATCAGAGGGTTTTTTATTAGCATTTTTTGGCCAAAAAAAAAAAAGAATGGTGGGAACAACTTTTTCAAACCTTTGATTCTTTGATGGTGTGCTGGCCATATTTTACATGCTGTTGACTGTTACATCTTGTACTTTAATCATTTAGGTTAACAAAGGAGTGGAGGCATCGCTTGTTCAGCTCCTTGAAACAGGCTTGCTACATGCTGATCCACATCCTGGAAACTTGCGCTACACAGTGTCAGGACAAATAGGGTAGTTTAGCCATGCCTTCACCTGCATAAGATAAAACCCTGTTTTTTTTTTTTTTGCTTTGGTAACTAAAATGATCAATTATTGTTCGGTTACTCTTTTCCAGGTTTTTGGACTTTGGTTTGCTCTGTCGGATGGAGAGGAGGCATAAGTTTGCTATGCTTGCTTCCATTGTGCATATAGTAAATGGTGATTGGCAATCCCTTGTTAAAGCTTTGACTGAAATGGATGTTGTAAGGCCAGGAACCAATATCCGGCGTGTTACCATGGTATGCTTTTGCATATCAATGGATTTATTTTATCAACATTTTTGTTTGACATGGAGTTTCTGTAAAGCACCAAGGCATTGTGCTTTCTGTTAGATATTTTAAAGTGAAGTTCATATAGCTTTTAGACGCCAGTCACTGGTTCTGACAGCTGAGTTGTGAAAATGGTTCAGGATCTAGAAGATGCCCTGGGTGAGGTAGAATTTAAAGATGGGATTCCTGATGTGAAGTTCAGTAGGGTGAGTTGCACATCTTTGCTTTTTTTGCTTTTTGGGTTATAGTTACTGAATTTGTTTTGTTTTTTAATGTCTTATTCTACATGGTCCTTCAATACAATTGTAATTTGCAGTAGCTTTGTTTGTTCTCAAGTGTCTGAAATAATAACCCAAAACTCCATTCACCATTTGGTCTCTCATTGTCAACTTAAAAGCCAAAATCATCATGGATGAGTGAACTAATATATCAGTTATTGTAGCCTTTATAATCTGTTTTAAACTTCAAGTTCCGTACACTTCATTGTAGCTTTATAAGACTCATTTGGTAATGCAATTGCAAATAGAAATAAAAACTTTGACAATGACATTGATTTGCCTTATTCTTGTTTATTATCCTCTTGTCAGTGCCCACTAGAAGGGACAAAAATCAATTTTTCTGCAATGTATATGTAAATGACTAATACTTGTACTAACATTGTTAGGTTCTGGGTAAAATATGGTCTGTAGCCCTCAAGTATCATTTCCGCATGCCACCCTATTACACCCTTGTCCTCCGTTCTCTTGCTTCCTTGGAAGGTTAGTCACTACATGCCAGAATTTTTTTAATTGAATTTTAATAGGAGCTATATTGCCTATGGTACTTTTTTGTTCATCCATAATGATAAACCTCAAATTTCTACACATTGTCACTTTAAGACCTTTGCCAATGCTACAAGGAACCAGAGGTTTGAAGTTTCAACTAATTGAGAAGCACCTGATAAATCTTTTTAATAATGTTGATCTTCATTGTGTTTCTATTCCTAGTTTGTAACTCTATACTTACTTTAATTTACCAATCATTTTCCATCAATGCTCTTTCAGGTTTGGCTTTAGCTGCAGACCAAAATTTTAAGACATTTGAGGCTGCATATCCTTATGTTGTCCAGAAACTTCTCACTGAAAATTCAGCTGAAACGAGGAAAATTTTACATTCGGTATTTGAGGGCTCCACACTTTTTTTTTTTTTTTTAAGTGTTAACATTGGGGTCCATGATGATATAGCCTAGTTTATCTTATTTTTGGCTTTTTAGGTGATTTTTAGCAGAAGGAAGGAATTTCGTTGGGAGAGGCTCAACCTTTTCCTTAGAGTAGGTGCAACTAGGTGGGTTTGAACTTTGTATCCTGGAATTCTTTATTTAAGCTAATATGTCTGTTTTTTTTAACAAAATACTTGCTCTTGTTGAATGTTGAGTCAGGAGCTGGTTCTCATTTTAATTAATATATACATTCTCATCAGATGCTGCTCTTGAACCCACTATGCTTATATGATTAATTTTGAAAGGTATATAGTTATGCATACATGTAGATTATTTTATTTTAAAGGTGATGAAGTCATTTGTTTTTGTCCCATGAGAAAAATAAAGTTTGGGTATCTTTCTACGTGTTGCATAAATAAATGTACATGGACCAAGCCACTCCTGGCATTAATATGTTAACGGAACCTCATTTATGTCTTGGTAGTATTTATGTTTAGCATTTATTGGTGTTTATGTTCACTCAAACTCTAAACTTTTGTTTTTCTGCAGGAAGAGTTTGCAGAAGTTGGTAGGGTCAAGCTTTGAAACTTCCACCGTGTATGCTACAGATAGAACAAATGGTGTATTTGATGTTGCATATTTGATGTTGAAGCTTTTACCATCTAAAGATGGTGTTGTGCTGCGTAGGCTCCTAATGACTGCTGTGAGTACCTTTGAACTTTTCAACCTTGACCAGTGGAATGGCAGAATACTGTTTACTGCTGGCTATAGTGATTTCCTTGTTTAGGTGCATTTTATTAGTTAACCTTGTGTTGCCTTCTAATCAACAGAACGGAGCTTCATTAGTACGGGCTATGGTTTCCAAAGAAGCAGGTTTCTTTCGTCATCAACTTTGCAGAATCATTGCTGACGTACTGTATCAATGGATGGTTGTAGCTCTTGGACTTGGTGCGAGAGCAACCCAGTATAGCTCCCAGGTGAGACTGGCTGGTGGCTCTGGCAACATAGAGGTAGGTCCATCTTCTCGATTATCCAATCCCAACTATGACTATCAATCCCTCTTGAGGGATAGACGATTCAAGGTGATTTTCTTGAAGATCTTGGACTCAACTAGAAAGGAACCAATGTTGATGTTAAGGTTTTGCTGGGCCTCTTTTGTGATGTTCATCACAGCTTCTGCCCTGGCATGTCATCGGCTACTAATCTCTTTGTCTGAAACCTTCTTGGGACCGGTATCACTCACTCCCAAGCGACTTGCAATGAGCACATGAAACTCTACTACCATCTCATGGAAACAGATGTCATTTCGATGAAGTCATGATACGCATAGTCACGTACATCTTTGGTATGTATCAAAAGTTGGTCGTGTAAACGACCCTAGCAATTCGCTAGTCACACATAGTAATAGTATGAATCAAGGATCAGTGCACTTGAAAGTCATCTACAATTCTACATCGGCGGACTTGTAAATAGCCAAAGGTCTGTACGTATTATCAATCTAGTAGAACTACATGTAAGCCCAGCAAAAATTGCAGTTTTATTTTTATTTTTTTTGGTTAAAAGGGTTTGTAGCCAAAAGAACCAAAAGAATTTGACTGGTCATAATGTTTATGAAGATTTATTCTTTAATGTAGAATCAATGGTTAATTTCCACCTTATTGTTTCAACGAAATATTATGGTATGGGAAATTATAAATTTATATTATTATATTATTATATAATTAATTTTTTATTTGAAAAATTATTTATAATATTATATATCTATTTATTTTGTATTATATTTTATTTAACAACATAATATCTTATAAATTTATAATTTTATATAATATTATAAATATAATGTTATTTTGTTTTTATTAAATTCCTGTGTCATTTCAAACTGTCATTGCCTCAATTGAATGACAATTATTATTGTTATTATTATTATTATTTTTTGGTTTCTGGCGGGAAGGATTTCTTCTGTACTTGGTATAGTTCTCTGTTGATTTGTACCTGTCGAGTCACAAAACACGTTCCAGCACAAAACTGGGAATCGTTTTCAAGCTATTAACAATTTGAGCGAACGAAAAATTGTTCCAGGCACATGCTAATCTGGGTTGCACATTGAAGGTCACAACTTTTCCCTTCATTTACCCACCTATTAAATTGAGATATATTTTGGCTTCGGTGTTAAATAATGCTATAATTATTATAAAATATTACTATAATTAACAATGCAAAAAATCAATAAAAAAATAATAAATTTATATTTATCTAAGTACTGTATAAAAAATATGCACAAGAAGAATTATCAAAATACCTTTAAATGTATGTTTATACCATAATACTATTATTACCAATCTTTATTAAAGTGCTATATTTTAAATTTTTTGAATAAATTATAATTTTTAAAAGAAAAAAAATTCGAATCCAATTTTAAAGTAGAAAATTTATTTTACAACTAAACTAATGGTTTTTTTTTTTTTTAACATATTTGCAAGGGACGGGTTTTAAACCCAACCTAAAAAGGGAAAATGCACCAAGTGACTATTGCTACTAGGCCGCAAGGACCAAGTGCCAACTAAACTAATGGTTACGTAACTCAAAAACTAATTTTTAATTTTTTTGATGCGACATTATCTTGAATTATGGAAATATCCTTTATCCCGCACCATTATGCACGGATTTATATTTCCCATACGGTAAAGTAGAAGAAATAAAAATGGAAAAAAAATTTGGATTCAGTTCAATATAAAATAAATAAATGTAGGAAATTTCTCCAGAGATTCCGAGTCTCAACATGATATCATAGATCTGGCTGTAACAAATCACCCGCTCGTTTACTTGCGTTGCCTTTCCTTGTCTTGGCTTACCTAGTTACCTTACTCCCTGGGTTACTCCGATCCAAATTCCATACAAAACCACCACCAACGAAATCCCGGGACTCAAACCTTCCGTCTTCCGCCAGATCAAGGGCCGCGATTCACTTCCTCCCTCTGCCATGAGTTCTCCGGCAGTTTCAGTAGTAATCCCTCACTCCTCTCTCTTCTCACCAGATCTTGAAATTCTACTTCAAATTATGGAGTATTTACATTTTGACATGCCATCTCTTCAAATTAGGGAACAAGCGCATTCGGCGGATTTACAAGGCTATGCAAGGGTCTCGCGGTGGTGCTTTTCGTTGGACACGTTCTGGTTCAGCTTTTACCTTCAGCAGTTTCTTACCTCGCTCTCATTCCCGCCAGGTATTTCTGTCTACACTTCTAAATGAATTTACTTATTTCTTTAATTTTGTTCATTAATAGTAATTAGGCCTTTAAATCTGGTTAAAATGATACACATGTTCTTGATTCTGGTTTAGATTTCACCTAACAGAGCGACGGATGATGATCAGATTTGATTTTAGCTGATTTTTCTAATAACATTTTGAAGATTAACGTTAATTGATCAGTTGGTTCTGCTTGATGTTTGAGGAGAAGGATTTTTTTTTTTCCTGGGGTAAAAAGGAGGATGGTTGCTTTGCTGTTTAGATCTGGATTCAGGAACTAGGAGGCATTGGATTTCGAAGTTGTTGAGATCCTGTTCAGTGATGGTTTTGAATCTAATATTTGGTAGTATGTCTTCTAGAGTTTGCTAAAATATCAATTACCATAATGATAGGTTTTGTATACACTGGCATGGCAGTGGTAGTTGATCATATCCAAATATTATGTTCTGAACTTGTGTGATCATGTCCTTCCACACCAATGATTTAGATTTCACCTTTTTTTTTTTTGTAGGACGATTCCTTTTGCTTGGAATCTCATAACAGCCGGTTATATTGAGCAGTCAATATATGGGGTATAAAAACTTTGCTTTACTTTACTCACTTTTTGTTTAAAGTATTCCTTCCAACTTCTAGTTCATTCGAATTGTTGTGCTGATAGTTACTGATTTCTTCAGGTTGTTATCAGCATTCTTGGCCTTCTTTTCATGGGGAAGTTGCTTGAACCAATATGGGGTTCCAAGGAGTTTCTGAAGTTCATCTTTATTCTTAACTTTCTAACTTCTGTATGTGTTTTTATCACTGCTATTGCCTTGTACTACGTAACAAGGCAAGAAGATTACCTGTGAGTACCCTTACCTCCATATGCATCCAAAGAACAGTTACTTGTTTGCTGACTTCTACCCCTGCTCTTACTACTGTCCTTAATTTGGATGTTGAGAAGTAAAAGAGAGTAAACTGAAAATTGAGCTACTGCCTTTTTGTTTTTTTCCTCTGAATCATTGGTAGTAAAAATGTTACATTCAGTTAGACATTAAAGAAAATAAATTGCCAAAACTTTTACCTAATTTTATGTACATTTAATTAGAAATTTTTTGTGCTTGAGTTCTTTCATTTTTATTTTAAGTTGCTTTCTCAACCTTTTGGGTAGCTGATTTTCTTTTCGTTTTTTTCCTTTTTGGCTGCAGTTATATGCCTCTTTCTGGTTTCCATGGAGTTCTATCAGGCTTCTTAGTTGGTGTCAAGCAAATTGTACCTGATCAAGAGCTGCCTTTATTGCGAATTAAAGCAAAGGTATGTGGCTTTGTACCAGCATCCCTAATTCAGTTTCATTTAAAACATGTGCATTGACGCCCTCACCCTGCTTCCTATGCCATGCAGTTGCTTCCATCACTTATGCTATTAATTGCCATTGCCATAAGCTTCTTTACACCTGAGTCAGCAACATATCTGCCAACTTTGATATTTGGTACTTATATTGGCTGGCTCTACCTTAGATACCTACAGAGGAAACCAGAAACAAAGCTTAGGGGTGATCCAAGTGAAGATTTTGCATTCTCTACTTTCTTCCCTGAAATTCTTAGGTATTATTTCCTTTTCATTTTATAGTTCTTCTTGCAATTTGACTATAATAATTCCTTTAAGCACCTTCTCATTTTTCCTCTCTCAAGTATTTTTCAATGGTTTTGTTGCAGACCTGTCATTGATCCCATTGCTTCAATATTTCATCGGATGCTTTGTGGAAGATCTGAGGCTTCTGCAGAAGCTCATGGTTACACCTTGGGAGGTGCACCATTACCTGGCTCTGACCCCATTGAGGCATCTAGAAGGAGGTAACGTAGTTTTGTTTATATTCTATTATAAAAATATTTGCATGTGATGTTTATATATTTTCCATCTTTTAGCATAATATGGTTAGGAAACAATGGAATTACATGGAACTGGTACGATGAACAATTTAAATGCTTGAACTGTGATTCCTGTGGTGTTTGAAGGTGAAATGATCTTTCCCATCTTGCACTGAAGACCACCAAGATATGAGTGTGCTTGTTACACAAGGTCTTAAATGCATGGTGGTGTGTTGGAATGATACCAAGCATTATTTCAACTGCATGGTATTGAAAAGTAATATTTCAATAGTGTCCAGGACAAGTTCAACCATTTAATCTTCTTACAAGGTATACCAGGGTAGTTTTTAGATGAAGCCAATTATAGGTTCCATGTCAAAATTCCTCTACTTCTGTAGTATACAATACGTTTACATCTAACAAGGGAGTCATAATTGACTCTGGTGAGGTTCCAATTCATTACTCGGCAGCTGCAGTATCAACAGTAGGTAGCAATTATCTTGTTATATTGGACAAATCTAGACATTGGTTTTGAGAGCTCCAAGCAATTCAGGTGGTGTTTGGGCATTTCATTTTCTGTGGAGAGCTTCCTGATGATTATTGTTCCCCTGCACAGTGGGTTGGTTGGAATGAAATGTCTAGTACTAAAACACTATGATGTTGTTATAGAAAAAGATCCTTGTTAGGAAATGGACTGTGAAGTTTCTGACCTATCTATTTCCTTGCAGAGAAAGAGGGGCGAGGGCATTGGAGGAGAGATTGGCAGCTGAGAGGTTGGCTGCTGTACAAGGTGCAGAAGAGTCTAAGAAAGATGGCGATGACAACGTTTGACTCAGACCTTCAACATCCATTCCAGAAGATTTATTGACGACTATCAGAGGGTATGCGGTGTTTGGTGCAAAATCCTTTTTGTGGACTCGGTTGACAGTTTTGTTATCTTATTATGTGGATTATGATCCTCATGGTACAGTGAAGTTGCTTCCCTCTTATTTTTTCTCTTTCCTTTGAATTCTTGTCTTGCATCTTCTGAACAATTATTCATCCCTTCCTGCCTTTACGCACTATAGAAATAGGTTAGAAATGTGAAAAATTTGGAAGCTTCGGATATCTTACCTTTGTACCAAAATATAATCAAAATCCTCTTTTTCTGTTCCTTCTCTGGTCAGTTTGGCATTTGCACTACAACACAATTTTGAAACATTTATCTTCAAGGACCTCAACTATATATCTGCTTGCAGGTTTGCAACGGAAGCATTTTCTCTTAATTCTGAAACATCTTTTCTTCCTCTTTCATTTTCACCAATAATCATCTTAAGGTTTTCAAACGATTCCCTTTTTGGTAGGGAAATGGTGAATTGATGATACTAATTTATTAATGTATATTGACAAGCATAAGTCGATATTACTAAATAATGTCATCTTTGCCCTTGTCTAATTATACTCTTATAATTTTCTAAATAATGTCATTTTTTAAAAAACTAATAGTAATCTGTATCTAATTTTAAAAAGAAGTATAGCAATTAACTACGTGAGAGTGAAATTACCTTTGAAATAAAACTTACATAAAATTTTTGGAGGGATTTATTTATACAAAATTTTTACATATTACATATATAAAATTTTGAATGTTTATCTCTTTACTTTTAATGATTGATATTTATTATGATTTTTTACATAAAAATATAAATAAAAGTTTATTATTAAATAGATTTGTTCTCTCTTATGTTTTGCCCTGACGTTGAAGATGGCTAGTGCTTTGGATCACAAAA